TAAGCCACATACTCTGTGAATTACATCTTCATATATGTACTCACCTGTTAATTTGTAAATCTATACACACAGTGTGTTGTAAACCACATACTCTGTGAGTTACAACTTCATATATGTACTCACCTGTTCATTTGTGAATCTATTCACATATAGCGTGTTGTAAACCACATACTCTGTGAGTTACATCTTCATATATGTACTTACCTGCTCAGTAAATCTATACACACATAGTGTGTTGTAAACCACATACTCTGTGAGTTACATCTTCATATATGTACTTACCTGTTCCTTTGTAAATCTTTACACACACAAGTGTGTTGTAAGCTACATACTCTGTAAGTTATATCCTGATATATGCACTCACCTATTCATAAACCCGAAACCCTAAACCCTATAGTGCGATGTAAACCACATACCTCGGCCCTAATACCCTAAAACCCTGTAACCCTAAGCCCTGAAAACCCTAAAGTGGGGTTTTTGATACTATATGATTCTTGTATACCGTCCGTCCGGGTGGGTATAGGGCTGGTACTGTCCCACCAACGCCAACCACTCGTGTGCAGTGGACAACGTATTGCAGCAGAAGTGCTATATTCTGTAAGCGCAAATCCATTCACTTGAGCGTGCAGCGTGTGTGTACGTCACTGCCGCGGGGATATAAATATGCCATGTTTCTATCACCCGACACTACACCCAACCCTTGTGAAGGATTACACTTCACACCACACGTGCGTCCTACTGTCATGTATCTGCATACCCCATACTAAACATCATCCCATGTCTTTAAACTGTGTCCACTGGTTGTACATCTATCTTCATACCCTGTACTACACATCATCTCATGTCTCTGAACTATATCCACTGCTTGTACATCTATCTTCATACCCCATACTACACATCATCTCATGTCTCTGAACTATATCCACTGCTTGTACATCTATCTTCATACCTCATACTACACATCATCTCATGTCTCTGAACTATATCCACTGCTTGTACATCTATCTTCATACCCCATACTACACATCATCTCATGTCTTTGAACTGTGTGCGTGTATTCCACTGTGCGTGTGTGCAGGGCCAAGGAAACTCCCGACATAGATGGCCGAGCACGCGCCTACTTTAGACGCTTGGAAGAGGGCGACCCAGCCGCACTCGCACTATGGGACAAACTACGCCAGATGAGTATCACTGAGTACGCAAAGGTGTACGAACGCTTGGGTATGTGATAGGGTTTAGGATTTATGGTTTTAGAAGTTGTACCAACATTGAGTATGTGATAGGTTTTAGGGTTTGTGGTTTATGGATTTTAAGGTGTACGAACACTTGAGTATGTGATAAGTTTTAGGGTTCAGGGTTTAGAATTTTTTAAGGTGTACGAACGCTTGGGTATGTAGTAGGGTTTAGTACTAAAACCATAAAACACTTGGGTTTGTGATGAGGTTAGCACTGTATGCATGTTTTAGGGTATAGGGTTTTCGACTTTAGCGTTTTGGGTTTTGGTGTTTAGTGTTTTCAGGTTTACCAACTCGTGGGTATGTGTTTAGGTACCGAGTTTCGTACGGCATGTCAGCCACGTCTCCTGGGCAAACACTGCTGTACCGAACATCTCGGTAGTCGTATAACGTTTCGTGACGCAGCGAACGTTTACCGGTGGATAGGCGTGTGGGGGCTGCAGGGTAGCCTAGGCGTTCAGGCTCTGTGCAACGTTTACAGTTTCTTTACCTGCGCTTGAGTGTCTGAGTCTATGGTGTGAGTACAAGGGGTGTCGACCATTTCATGATGTGCCTGTAGCGTGTGCAGAGATGTATATCAAGACCTGGGCTGAGGGGGATACGGGTATTAACCTTTTGCGTCAAATGAAGAGGCGGGTGCTCTCCTGTTCGTTGTAAACACTTGTCTTCAACAACCCTACTACTACTACTACTACTACTACTACTACTACTACTACTACTACTACTGGTATAGTTAGTGTTCCTATCAAGAGATGTGGAATATGTCATTTGTCTTCGTACTTGTCCCGCATTGTACCTATACCTGATCTTGTTGACCCTAGGAGTTTCCTACCACCTATGTATCATTCCCAGCTACAGCTTCCTCTCATTCATTGTACATAGGGCTTGGCGTAAATACGCTAAGTCGGTTGATATTGATACTCAACGCTCTGTGCGCTGACTTTGCCGTCGAGCTCACACGTACACACATGTGCATCACTTTGTATAGTCCGTTCCGTATACTTCAGTGTACTGGCTCAGCCCTATGTTCTCTAGCACCACCTCAACAAATAACCAGGTGTATGTGGTGTGTATTGCTAACTCACCAACTGGCTAACTGTTTGTAAACCCTATGTGGTGTGTATTGCTAACTCACCAACTGGCTAACTGTTTGTAAACCCTAGAACCCTAAACCCTACCTCACCCACTGAGCGTGCTACTGCTGGTGTCTGAGCGTGCGACTGCTTCTTCCCTTCACACTGTGTAGGTGTGCAGTTCGATGTGTTCGAGGGTGAGTCGATGGCTGACGGAGACTCGGTGGTCAAATCACTACGCACCACAGGCACCAGCCACTACCAGGAAGACGGCTCAGAGGTGTGTGTAAGAAACGGACCACCCGTGTGTGGGATGGCAAATCAGAGGATGTGTATGTAGGTAGGACGATATATATGCGTATAGGTGCATATATATA